CCTAAACCCTAAACCCAAGCCCAGGCAACCGATTCGAGCTGTACTTCGCCTCCCCTGAGCTGAAGTTGGGTCCTCTGAAGCACAGCTCAGGCTTCCTACGCTTTGGGGTTTAGGATTTAGGGTTCCTAGTGTTTGGGTTTAGGATTTAGGGTTCCTATTGTTTGGGTTTAGGATTTAGGGTTCCTATTGTTTGGGTTTAGGATTTAGGGTTCCTATTGTTTGGGTTGAGGGTTTAGGGTTCCTATTGTTCGGGTTGAGGGTTTGGGGTGTAGGGTTAGGGTTTAGGGATATAGAGTCTCATGATTTTTTCCTTAAATTGAGCTGGAGCACACACCAGCGCTTCTTACACTATTGTTTTCGGTAGTGTGCCTGGTTTTACGTTTGGGTTAAATTCGGAGTTCAGGCATTGTGCCCAGACCTTCCGAAATCCCTTAATTTACGTATATACCTTGAACCATATATGAAATTAGGGATCCTACTACAATTTAGTATATTCCTTAATCAAGGAATGTGTGGGAAGGTCTGGGTGGTTCATGGAGGCTCATAGGTTCAGATTGCAAGCTGGGTCGGCAGTTCCAAAGTAGGGGCTGCTGTCTAGGGTTTAGATTTCAGGGTTTAGGGTTGAGGGTTTAGGGTTTACGGTTCAGGGTTCAGGGGTTTGGGTTTGGGTTTTTTGTAAACTCCCCTGCTGTGCCTCTTTCTGCAACCCTCAAACCGCTTATACCCGAATGTTTTCAGACGACTTCCCCTCACAGTGACTCAGGGTCCTGTTAGGCCGCAGTGACGCCGTGGTGGCCGCCAAAAACCCCCAACCTTAAGCCCTATAAACCCTAAACTTAAACCCTAAACCCTTGACCCCATTCTCGAACCCTAAACCTTAAACCCTAAACTTAAACCCTAAACCCTAGACCCAAACTCACACCCTAAACCTTAAACCCTAAACCTTTAACCGTGTAGCTTCAGTGTGAAGCTCTCGACGGCCTGACTCGAAACTCTCGCGGCCTTGGTCTGTAGGTTACCTAAGGGTCCATGTGCCCAAACAGGGCTCCTTTAACAGTTACTGAAAGGTCTCTATAAGGGGTACCATAAGGGTTTAGGGATATTTAGGGCATATAAGGATCCATGTACCCAAATAGTATATACTTTGGCCTTAAGGTAGTCCCTATATAGGTACTTTGGGGCCAAAGTATATACTGTTTGGGTACATGGACCCTTAGGGTTACACTACCAATCTGTTCGAATGCGGAAATTACCGATTGCCTGATGATCTCTGTTTGCTGTGCATTGTAGATTTTCATGAATCCTGCAAACCCACTTTGCACATTCCGGGTTGTTGAGGTTGGAGTTGCATTTTGTCTGTCCTCGATCTTGGAGTGATCTTCACGAAACTAAACTTGACCCAACCGCTGTTCCATACCCGCAGCTCTAAATAGCAAGGCCCCGAAGAGCCCAAAACAAAGTTAAGGCGTAAACCGAGTGAACTGCTGAGTTGAGTGTTGCCCATAGGCCCTAAAGTAGTTCCTCTTCGGGTTTCATATTTGGAATCCTATTAGGGAATCTCAAACAGGAACTACTATGGGGCCTATGGGTGCAGCATCACTGGAGATTGCACGCCGCGGCCACGCAGCCTGTTTCCGTTTGGCACTCCGCCCGAGCCTGGTTTTCCCACACTGCGGGGCCTACACATCAAGGCAGGACACAGGGTCAAGTTTAGGGTTTAGGGTTTAGGGTTTAGGTAGGGTTCTATTTTCTTTTCCATGCTTGATCGTGCTTATTTTGGGCATTCGGGCGTTTTGGGTCGTGGATTGTTGCGGTGATTCAGGGCTTCTTGGGTGGAGAATGTTGCAGGTGAGCTCTACTATTGGGGCGTCGGGGCTTAAAGAAGTTATACTGTACTTAGCAAGGATACATTGACTCAACCGGGGATAAATGCAAACTTAGGAGTGAGGTTATAGATACGAGCTGAACTTTTGTATCTTTTTTGCAAGTTAAGTTAACTTGGTCCAGAGTTTTTCCTGCTTCGTTTCCAATGTTTAGGCGAAGTTGCTCAGAGAGGTTAAAAACAAGGCACGCGGCCGGGTTCAATCTGGAACAGACTTGGGCATCGATACAAATCTGTGACCGACATGACATTGACAAATCACACCCTAAACCCTAAAACCCTAAACCCTAAAATCCTAAACCCTAAAACCCTTTAAACCCTAAAACCCTAAACCCTAAAATCCTAAACCCTAAAACCCTTTAAACCCTTAAAACCCTTAAAACCCTATAAGCCCTATATAAACCCTATATAACCCCAAAGCCCTATATGAAGGCCAGCCTGCCTGTTCCAGAAGATGCTGGACCCGAAGATGAACCCTGGACAATAACCCCTGAGTGGCCCAAAAAAAAAAATTACAATTAGGTCATTGACTTTAGGATAGTAGTTTTCTAGGTTCTAGGTTCGTAGTTGGGAAAGTTAGTAGCTTTCTAGGTACGTATTTGGGAAAGTTCATGGTTACAGAAGTAAATGGATTGAGATTACACGAGAATACGATGAAACAATCACACAGATTATGGACTCCTGTCAGACCGTTTACGACCCTGTCAAGCCCCTCCTATAGCTTATAACCCTCCAACAAACTCGAAGACAACGTGCCAAGCCGGCCAGCCTAAACCCGAATCGACGAGCCTAAATAATTACCAATACTGATTTGGGGGTTCCTTAGTATATATAAATTATAAATTATAGTTATAGCATAATGGGCCCCAAAACCCTATTCTTATTGTTAAGGCCCCTATATGAAGCCCTATAGACCCGGCCGTATCAGGTTTTAGCAATGGATTCACGCGGACTCAGCACCAGCACAGGCCTGATCCTGTTTTCCTTTTGCTCCCAGAGGTCTCCAACAGAGACAGGATTTTGGGGTTTAGGGGCTTAGGGTTGAGGGGTTCAGGGGGTTAGGGGTTTCGGGTTTAGGGTTTAGGGGTTTAGAAGGAACCCCGAACTTTAAACCCTAAGCCCCTGGCTTAGGGTTACTGGGTTTAGGCCATGTAGACTTTGGACATCGGGGTCTGGTGTTGTTAGGGCTTAAGGTTTGCGGGTGCTTTCGGGGTCGCACCCAGAGAACCCAATACCCCTTAATTAAGGAATATACCTTAAACCATAATATTAAGGCCCCCTACAATTTAAGGTATATTCCCTATTTACGGGGTATTGGGTTCTCTGGGCAGTCTTGCAGAATTCTGAATCTTGAGGTTTCTGAGGTTGAAGTCGACTTGGTGGCGAAAAAGCCGCTGCAAGGAGGGTTGCATCAACAGCTTGGCATAGCACTTTAATAGCCAGATTTAGGGCTTAGGGTTTAGGGGTGTTTGGGGGACGTTCTTCATAGGTGTCACTATCAATATTGCAGTAAACCCCTAAACCCTAAACCCTAAACCCTAAACCCTAAACCTATATATATATATATATATCATCTTGTGCCCTGATCAACAGCAGTACGATGACCACAGCAGTCATCAGCCCTCGTGGGCCATACCATCAACGACAAGCTTGACTACGGCTGCTCATGTAAATCTGCATTGCCCGTAATTCCTAGTTCTCCAATACCCAACCTTTGAACTTTTTGGGTTCTTATATTTTAGTAATAATCTGAAGGTCTAACCTTTTATTTCGTGGCTCAAACCCTAAACCCTAAACCCAGTAAGAATTAGTATAAGCCCCAAAGGCGCAGCACTGATTGCAGCCCGGCTGCTGCTGGAAGCTTCGGCTCCGCAAGCTTTCGTGACGCCTCAGGCGCCGGGACAGGGAGTCAACAATGGCTCCTGTAAGGGTTCCGTTTAAAGGGCCTATAAGGGATACTATAAGGGTTGAGGGTTTAGGGATTCTTAACCCAGAGGCTCCATAGGTACTGCCAGAATGTACTTAGGCCCCAATAGACCATCCTTATCATGGTTTTGGCGACCTAATTCCATAGTAGTAGAGTATAGGAAGCTACGATAACCTATGTTTGGTAGTTTCTGGTTACAAAGCCAAATATGGTGTTTATAGCGACCCTATTCAAAGTAGGTTTTGGTCGGTTAAGGCAAGGCTTCATCCACCTGTGCGCAGCGCCGTACTGCAGATGCCACAGGCGACGCCCCAGCCGGCGCTGGACAAGAACACGCCCAAGGCTGTTTCCGGTCGTTCATTGCGCGGCAGCCAGGTGCATCGTCAGAAAGTTTTACACAGTCGAATGAGTGGCAATGGAACTAAGGAGTGTTAACAAACCGTAGATCACAATTTGAATACCGTTTTGAGAGATGTGCATGTATGTATGTATGTATGTATGTATGTATGTATGTATGGAACCATGCATGCATGTAGGTATGTATGTAGGAATGTATGTGTACATATGAGTATGCATAAAATACATATTAAGTATATATATATATACACATAGACATAGATATTGTATGTATGTATGTATTTATGTATGTATGTATGTATGTATGTATGCACATAAATATATATATATATACACACATATACACATATACACATGTGTGTATATATATATATACACACATGGAGTTTGCACTCACAAGCAGTACGTGTGCACTCGTGTCACATAGACTAAGTCACCTGCAGACATGTGAGTATACAAGTGACAAGACCGCTTGTGCACGTAGGTTCGCCCAAATGCCTAAACTGCAGAACCACACCTACCGCGTGACCCTGAAGTTTCTAAATCCCTACACCCGAAGCCCTGAATCCCTGCCTCACACCCTATAATCCTAAACCCGAACCCCTAAAACCCCTAAAACCGTTAAGCCCTAAACCCCAAACCCTAAACACCTCAGTAAACCCTAAACCCTCCACCCTGAACCCTAAACCCTAAACCCTAAACCCTAAAGGGTTTAGGGTTTAGGGAACCTCAGGAGCCTTCCTCCGCCGGTGCCTCCGCCTCCCTGGCCGCCGTCGGCCTCGGGGCGGCGGCCCTTGGTGCTCGGGCGCTGATGCGGCCTGCGGCAGCCAAGGCAGCCGGGAGACTTGAAAGCGAAGGTTGAGGGTTTTGGGGTTTAGGGTTTAGGGGTTTAGGGTTTGGAGTTTTTGGGTTTAGGGTTTTGGG